ATGTCCATGTCCATGTCCATGGACATTGGACATTGTGTCCATGGACTGTCCATGTCCAATAATTTGCTTGGACATATATCCATGTACAACACTGTACGTAGCAACAGAAATTTCTCTGCCCATATTGTCCTTTGGGCAAAAAGTTATGTTTTAACCTGCCACAATATCCTTTCATATATTCATTACAAAAAATGAAATTGCTTTACTGCTTTTACATCATATTGCTAAATTTTCAATCGCTTTATATTTTAGTTAAAACATACACCCCAATACCTCGTCATTTACATAGCGCCACATTAATAGATAATAAGCTTTATATATTAGGTGGCGATACTGGTCCTAACGATGTTAATACATTTTTGCCTTCAAATAATTTCTTTTATCACAATGTCTCTGGCACATTTAATACGTCAAATATTCCATGGATAAATCTATCAATTGTCATTGGTACTCTTAAAACTAGTGTTCAAAGATAAGCCTTGAACACTACTTAAAACTTCCCGTGCAGCAGTATCTGCTAGAAACAATTTCATTTTCTTATTTGGTAGAGGATTAGAGAATTCAAGTTATGGAATTCCTTTAGTTTACATGTTTGACATTACAAAAAATGTGTGGAATATTCTTGCTATACAAGAAACACAACCTCCTAGACACGAATCAATTCATTCAATTATCGATGCTAGGCGGAGACTATAGTCCTAATACAGGAAACTTGTCCTTGAGTTTTGATAACAGAATGGATATTTTGGATACTATTGGATTAACTTGGTCAATAGGATCTCAAATCTAGGCTCCCTCAGCAAGAGATGCATATTATGCAACTTTACTACCAAACGGTGTAATTGTTTATTTAGGCGGACCTGGATCAAATCCTCAGAGTTTAGAAGAGGTTTGATATTAATTTTATTATTTCTTAATTATTTAATAATTTATTGCTATATTTATAAGATAAATTTATACGATATAAAAAGTGATACATAGGAAACCGCTACAGTATTAAATACACAGGTAGAAATTTTAATTTGCTAAAGTAATAAATAGCACAAGATAGATCGATCATTAGCAAATCAAAATTTTTACTGGAATAATAATCAACTTAGTACGCCATTGGATCCATTTCCGATGCACGTGCATATCATACATCAGCAGTGTTGGCATATGACCGGATGTGACCTAAATGACTAAGTGACCAAGTCATAGATCATATTGTCATTTCAATTTATGTGACCTAGTGTGACTCATATACATATAGGCAAACCTTCTTCTGATTTATCAGGAGCCTACAGTCATATTTAACTACTTTTTAGAGTTTAACGGTTTTTAAGACCATCAGTTACGTCACTTGGTTATTCGTAATATCTTATGATCATAGGAAGACATTCATATGATTGGTTAATTTTTGCCGATCTACCCATGATTGCCTGTGATAATTAACCAATCA